CGATCCTTCTAAGTGCTTCGCGACACAGTATGTGCATTTCTTTTAAATGGTTAATTATTAATACCATAGTGTAACCGTTCTCTGGATTTTTTAACGGACGCGAATTCTAGCTGACCGTCGCAGTTCCACAAGCAGCTGTACACTTCTCTGTCCATCGACTTCTTGGGCTATCGAGAATCGACCGTCATTCAGCGAAGAAATGTTCCATATACCAAAAGAAATCTCTCAGCGTCATGTGCACACTAATGCTGATTCTGGAAAAGCTCGTGGAAAACCTCCAACGGTAATTTTAGTTGATTTTTTACGCAGTTAAATAATTTTAGTTAATTTTGAAGATTTCTGAAGTAATTAGATTGTTCATCACAGAGCTAGCTTGGACCACTGAATCCCTTGCCCCTTAACTGGACATGGATGGTATAGTACAAAAAGTGAACATGTCTAGCAAACGGAAGAACCACCGGGCTAGAAAAAAGGTACGTGGGCGCGAACCTGAGCTCCGTTCTGGGTTCGTATATCGATTTTTTGCGCGGGGTTCGGGAAAAATCGGAACTGGCCGACAAAAATACCCACGGTGAGATCCATTTTAACGATCCAAGCGATCTTGATGAAAGACTTTCAGATCCTAGTATTTACCGGCGACAATGTGGAATTATTCAGTCGTGTAGCCGGTGCTCTAACTTCCATGATTTTACCCGATACATATACCGTTTTTCATTTGTCCTATGAAGCGCTCTGTACACAGCCATGGATTGGCCGAGATGTTGCATGCTTGATAATTGCTGATACAGCTCATCTGGATGATAAATGCTGGAATCGACTGCAGCACTATTTCAATAATGTAGTTTCTTTGAAATTCTATGAAATTAAAACTGCGAAATGAGATTTTACAGGAAGAGGAAAATTTGTCAAAGCGAGAATTTATGAAGCTGGAAATTTCAGCCATTTTTAATTTATGAAATATTCTTTCGAAAGACAGAATTTTTTGAATTAATTCTAGAAAAATTTTGAAAGGGTAAAAAGCCTTTGAAAAACCTCATTAATCTACAACTTTTGATGTTTTTTAAGAATTCTTAATAACTTCTTTTGCGAAATTAAATTTTATGATTTGTTTGATTTGTGACTTATTTTTAACTTAAACCCTCTTTTTGTTTTTTCAAAGATTTTTCCCAATATAATCTTTGGTCCCTCGATTTTTTCGGAAGAAAAATTGCAAGAAAGAAATTTCACGAAAAATATATGATTTCAAAAATTGCAGCTCTGTTTTCCTTTTTTTGCACTTGCAAGTAATTTTCGAAAAAAACTGCTAATTTTAGTCAGGCAAAATGCTGTTTCTCTGTCAAAATAATCTCCTTGCAAGCCTCTCTGCTTGTGAAACATCAAAGAAGAGTGCAAAATTATTGAAAATGGCATTTGGCGAAAGGCAATCAAAGGAACTTGGCAAGGATTTTGAGAATTTTTTGAAGAAAACTCTAAAAGCAATACACAAAGGCAAAAAGGCAAGCTTTTTTTTGAAACTCTGTGCAATTTTTCTCGTTACTGTTGCAGCTGGCAACATTTCCGTTCTTCTTTATATTGAATCGCTCTCTATCCATAAAATTCCATGTTGTTGTCCAACACTATCTTTTTAGAGAAATCCTGGTTCCTGGATTTATTAAATTGAACTTAGTGCAGATGTTTGCAGTTGGAACTTCTTATGACTAGTCACCAGAGCATTGGGCATTGTCCAGTCTCTGATCATAAATTTAGTTTCGAAATTTTCAGGTGAATCAGACGTTTCATGCCAGGGATCCGGTTGGTGGTTGCAAATATTCAGTTGTACTTAGTAAAACCGAAGGTCAGCCTTTGAATTTGGAGAAGGAATTTTTTTTTTCCTATTTTTTTCCGCTTTTCTCTTCGCCACAGTGCAAGTGAATGAGTCGAAATTCAAGTAAAGCAAAATTATCGACGGAGCAGGTGCCACTGGGGAATATACATAGTGTTTGGAACGCCTTCGCGTACTTAGACCACCTGCACTTTGTAGTCCAGCTCTCCAGCTATGTAACAGGCAACTTGTCCAGTGACCAGTACTGCATCTCTTGGTGGTTAGCCTGCCTGAGATACTGATGTTCGTTTCATCTTCTTAGGGGTTTATCAGCTCAACAGTTCTCCCGTCATAACCAAGGCTTTAGGCGTTTCGAGATATTCTTGGTATAGGTAGAGCATCACACTCTCGTCTCGAAGGTTGCTACTCCTAGTACTTTGTCAACAGAGAGACTTAGTCTCATCTTGACGTAGATTAAGCTTTGTGGCTGTGGCTGTCCTGTTTGTGCGTCAGTGAGGATAAATCACGGAAAACGGATTTAGAAGAGATGATGCGTTTGCTTGGTGGACAAAGAACAGTTGATAACCAGTGCTAGGATTATCTTCGGACATTTGCGAGGACATGTTATTGCGCTTTAGCTACGTAACATCTCTGCACTG